GCCAGCCCCATGGGCCCCTTCCCCACCCCCTGCCCATTTTTATCAGACCCTCCTGATGGCAGGGCTATGAAACCACCCCTGGAGGGGACTGTGGGTCCATGCACTGACCTTGTCCTGATGTGTTTGATCAGCTGTTTCTGGGCTGCGCTGGGGGAGCTGGTGCAAGAAGAGCCGGCAGGAGTGTGTTTGATCAGAGCAGCTGGGAGCAGCGGCCCGGCTGGCTGCTCTTAGCCTTCTGCTAATCTCCTCTCAGAGGGCAAAGAAAGGAGGATGTTCTGATAGACTAGCACACAGGTAACTTGGGAACAGCCTCACTGATCGGAGATGCGGCAGCCAGGTTCTCCCTGAATGGAGAAAGGAGGCAAGCGAGGGTACCGCCTGGTTCCGACTGCGCCTCTATGTGCCCAACAGAGCATGCCCTGCTCTCGGAGAAACCAAGATGGCAAGTGTGCTCCCTGTCCTCAAGCTATTTAGAATCCAAAATGAGATGAAGCTGTGTAAGAATTAAGGCACAGGCTGGCCCGGTGGCTCACACCTATAATCCCGGCACTTTGGGAAGCTGAAGTGGGAGAATCGCTCGAGGCTAGGAGTCAGCCTGAGCGACACAGAGAGGCCCTGCCTCTACAAAAAAATTTTTTTAAAAAGATGTAAGGCACAACATATATCACTGCATACCCAGGATTTCAATTATGTAGCACCTGGATTTGAGAAGTCTCAGAATGCAGATTTAGGGACTGCTGGGGAAGTTCTTTCTCCGCGACGGAGCTCGGGATTCCAGCAGCACACACGACCCCGACCAAGCACTGACTCTCCCTGCCCCACAAGGTTGCGGACGTGAGGGGATGGAGAGGAGCAGATGGAATGCCGGCATGTTCCATCGGCTGGAGACAGCTCACACAGAACACGGGGGGCACAGCCGCACGGCCTTCCTGTCTCCAGCAGCAGGCAACATCTACTAAGCACCCACTGAGCACACTGTCCAGTTCCGAGTACGCACACATACGAATGTCTTGGTGGACATGGGACCTACACTCGCGCAGCCCTGGATGACAGGACAAAAGATGCAGGGAAAAGGCCCAAAGAACGTTCCTGAGGAAATCATGAGCGTGGTTTCTGTGTCCATGTCCTAACGCTCCCTTCTCAGGAAACCCCGAGTCCTGAGACACTTCCCCATGAGGAGTGAAGACCCTTGGTCTAGGACAAGTCCACACGGAGCCATAAGCTACTTTTCTTTTTTCACTCCAAGCACATGCCAGAGCACAAGCTCATGGAGAGTAAGACAAACAATGGATGCTGGAGAGGCCAGGAGAGAAGGCCAGAAATCATCGCACACTCGTTTTTTCCATTTCCCTTGCTCTCATGGCTGTGTTCCACCTGACATTCCAAGGTCTGTGCCTTGACTCAGGTGTGACCCCTCAGCTATGGTGCCAAAGGGCGCTGAGAGCCCACGCTCCGACCCCAGAGGTCCTGCCCCCCTTACTCCTGCTCACTCTGGCCTGGGCTGGGGGCCCGGGCTTTACTTTTAGTGCAGCCCAGATGTTCCTACCCTGGTTTGGGTACCTCTGCACTGGGTTCCAGGTCTTCCTGGGGTACATTAGGCACCCTGCTTTCCAGCCCTTCTCTGCCCTGGCTTTTCCCTAGGTCCTGTTAAAGTATTACTAACGTTAACAGCCATCGTTTATGAAGCACCTGTATTCAGTCAGGCAGTTTATAAATGTTACCTTTTCTCCTCACCATCACTGTTAGGAAAGACTCACTCAACGTCATCTGTCTACTAAGCGGTGGGGCTGGGAGGCTCCCAAGTCTGGGCCTTGTCCACTGTGCTGCTGGGTCCCTTACAGCCAGGCGCCTTGGCCCAGGCCTAAGATCACTGAGCACCAGGGAATCCCTCGGTCCATTCCCCGCCTCTGCTTAATCCCGCCCGGCCCGCAGCAGCACTGCACACGTCCGCCTTCATGGCTGGGGACTGACTGTTCATTACAGTTACCCCTTGTGGCCTCCTGGGACACTCTCACGACTACTGCCCCAAATGTAACTCAGACAGCTGCAGCCTCTCTCCAAAGACACTGCTTAGGCGGAGGGGCTTCCCTCATAAAGGTCCTCGTGGGCCTGGGCAGGGTCCGCTTGTGCTACTGCAGGCCTGTCCGGGAGAAGCAAGCAGAGCCTCCTCCATGCCCTGCTTTCCCTGGGCTCAGGACTGCCGTTGGCTTCCGGGGCTGCAGGACACGATGCGCCTCCCCTTGCCTCACACGCTGGGTTCTTCCTGCAGAAATTACGTACGTCCTGTCTGTGTCTCTCTCTCTCGTTTCCTTGTTGGCTGCCAGCACGGTGACATTTTCGGCTGTTCACTGGGATAGGTTTCTGCGTATTCTATAGCTATCTGCTCAGCACTTTGTGCTCCGGGGGCAGTTGAGATTTAAGAGAGAAATGAAAAGTGGTGGGCACTGTAAGGATTCCTAAGGACTCAGAGCGAGGAAGAAGAGACACATAAAGGCATCAGAATGAACATTCTCCCGCCAGAGACTGCAGGGACGGGCTGACCAGTATGCAAAGGCCTTTATTAATATCAACTAAATTCTTAAATCCACGCTTTTAATTCGTACTACAATACCGTGGGGTAAGTATAGTCATTTTCCCTATTTTATGGCTGGGAGCCGGGAGCGGGGAGCTCAGAGGGGGTAAGCACCTCACCCAAGGTTACACAGCTGGACAGTGGCACAGCTACGTGCCCAGATCAGACACCGAAGCCCGTGCTCTGAAACATGGCCCTACACACACCCCCTGGAAAGAGGGTTCAGGAAATAAGACTCCACAAGGTAGGAGAGTTCCCCTCCAGCCCAGGCCATGACAGCCTGAAGGCACATGATGGCCCCTAGGAAATCTGTGCCCATCTGACACCTGCCCAGAACCAAAGAGGAAACAGGTCTATAACATCACAGTCCATTTGGAACTCAGGTGGCACAATTTTTTTCAAAGTACACATTTTATTTGTACAGATTAGTGCAAGCTGAACAAGAATATGGTTTGTAATCCAATTTACACAGCATCACGTGGGGGCTGGCTGTCCTGACCATGGGTGGAAGCAGGAGACTGGCCTTGGTAAGGGAAACGACGAATGCTTCCACAATTTGGAAGTAATCTGAATTAGCCCAGGGAGGGACTTTTCTCCTCAACAACGTACTCCCCAAAGTACAGACAGCTTCTCCCTTCCTCATAGGCTGAGCAGCAGTGGCAAGTTTCTGAGTTTCAGCCGTGCTCTCGAGCTTTTGCTAAGCCCACCATCCCCAAGGTTTCCATGGCAAAAAAACAACGATCACTTTGCCTCTGACACTCTCTTCACCCCCAAATCTTTCTTTTACTCCCCTTTTCTTCCTACCTCCCAGTATCCCTGGGATACACTGGGCCAAGCAGAACAGGGCAGGGGTGCTGCTTCCTCCTTCGGGAGGACGGATGAAAGCATCCCAGCACCACCTCCGTCACTGTCCAGCTGCCAGCCCACCTTAATAGGAACGCTGAGCGTCCCCTAGAACCACCTGCCCACTCTGTGTACAGCTAGCCGTTTCCGCCACCCCCAGCCCATTCACAGGTCCCCAGCACGTGAGATTTAAAGGCACCCTCACACACCGTTAGGATGTCATCAGCCTCTGGTGACCACAATGCCAACAGCCCCTGGGGTGAGAGAGGAACTTAGGGCCCCCTCTCATGCTTCCCCTCAATTCTGGGAGTCCCACCTGCTTGAGCCTGCAAGTAGAGAACAGAGAACATGTCTCTCCCTTCACTGTTTGTCTGACGACCTCGTTTTGTCCCTCAGCCTCTGACCGTGAGAGCTCCGGCCTGGGGGATGAGGTGTGCCTCCCGTGGGCACCGGCAAGTCAAGTCACTTCCTCTTCAGAGAGGACCCAGTACTCACACTGCAGAACCTGGTACCCACTGGGCTCAGAGTTTTCCTAACAGAGCTTCTGAGACAGAAGAGACAAGCTCAATAAAATAAATGAGCACAGACCTTTGTCGCTGCCCCTCTGGTTCCAGGTTCTGCTCATGTCCTTGATGGTAAGAGTCTCATCTTCCTACGGTAACCCGTGCTCTTAAATGACCTATCTGCTATCTCACTTACCTGTGATCCCAGTATTCCCACAGAATCAGACTCCGGTTTGCAATCTGACCGCCTTTCCCTTCCTAGCAGCTGGATCATGAGCTCCGGGAGCAGACAAGGTCTGGGATCCAGTGAACAAATCCATGTGTTCCAAGAAGCCCGCAGACTTCTCCATATCACCACAAACGGCCCAGAGCTCAGCCCAGACGCCACGAAGGCACGGGAACAGGCAAACGGAACACTGGGGCCATAATGAAACGAGTGGTGTGGACTAAGGACACCACATTAGCAATGTCCTCTGGGGCAGCAATTCAGAAGGTCTCTCGGGTAGAAGCGGAGAAAAGGATAAAATGGCCGAGTAGAACTGGGAAAGGTCTTCCCGATAAAATCCACGCCTGGGCTTCTCTGGGGAGCGACCCTGGAGACTCGCAGTGGGCCCACGCAGAGGCCTACTCAGAGCAAGCACTTGATGCAGGGTGGACTTCCGCTCATGCTTGACCAGACCCAGCACGGTGCGTGCCTCCTAGCGAGAGTGCCCTGGGCGAGAGAGCACTGGGGGCCCTGGCAGCACGTGTGGCTGCCCTGCTCCCGGCGTGGCACGCTGTGAGCGTGGTGCTTCTGAAGAAACAAGCGTCCTGCCACGATCTGGGGCTCTCCCGGAAACCCGAGAAAGGCTTCTCAGTGCTTGAAAGGATCTGATACTTGGGTTTAAAACTTTCAGCTCTCTTCATTCAGAAGACTTTTTTAAAATCGCTTTCTCCGACAAGCCCTCAGCACTTGATTTTATGTGTTTTGGCTGGAGAAGTTTTAGTGACGCTCATTGCAGTTCCGAGCCACCATGCCATGGCTCGTGAGGAGCTGCATCCTCAGCCACCGGCCTGGCACCAATGCCCTGTCAACGTGTGCCACCCCACTGTCTTTCAGGGGGTCTTATCTGGTGCCACAGGCAGAGTCAGTGCCATTTTGCCACTTGCAGATCAAGAGCTCTCCTGGTCTGGCAGCTCGCAGGACTGAAAAAGCTTAAGAGGACAGGGACAGCCTTGGCAGAAACGGTGAGGCCTTCACATGGAGGCGAAGTCTTAAAGGTTTGAGCACCATCTTCTGGTCAGCTTTTGGCTTCTGTGGCCGACTCTGCTTTAAAAATTTTATTTAGTGCAGAATGGGAAGAGCCCTGAACTGTCAAGCTCAAGTGATCTGCATATCAGCAGGAGGACAGGACAGAAGCAGTTGGCTGGGGTGAGCAGGCCCAAGCTGCCCGGAGCTGGAACTCGCCGTGGAAACCATCAGGCTGCCCACACAAAGGCGGTCTCGATGGCCAGCCAGACAACATGCTAGTCGGTGTTGAGGTTCTACTTCGTGCTCTTCTAGCAGTGTATGACCTGAGTGTGTGGCAGTGATAAAAGCTCCAAGCATGACTGAACCCCTTGCCTCCGTACATGGAGATATGCTTGGAAAGAAGGGGTGGGCTTATCTCTGCCAGTGTGGCTTTAGGGTGAGTGATCAAATGGCGCACTGCCCTCTGCAGGGGTCAAGCTACACAATGAGGCAGGAGCCCTGCCTGGTGTGTAAACACTGCACCAGCAGATTTCAACCTTTTGGCATGGCAGGAAAAGAAGATAAATGCAAGTCATTCTCTCCAAACGGCAGGGACCTATATCCATCTAATTGCACTTCATAATGGATTCCACAAACCATTAATTATCAGATTATATTTTAGGAACTAAAGATAAAATGCTTTGTGAAATTCAGACTCCGAAGGATCACCAGCCTGCGTAAGTGTGGCAGCCTGGGGAGCGCAGACTGCAGGCCACTCCCAAGGCATGGAAGCCGGTGGCAGAAACGGAGCCAGGGTGATTGTGGCTGCTCCTCCAAATGCAGACAGGACTGCCTGCCTGGTGCCACTTCATTAGCTACGTTGCATGCTCCACAGGGAGCAAACCAAGCCTCCAGGTTGGGTAGAAGTTTTAGCCTTTGATTAGAGGAAGAGGATGAGGATAACACGGAGGAGCTGTAAAAACCAGCCCTCAGGTAATGAACACCATGAAGAACATCCTGGAAAGGCATATTCTTTGCAACTGGACACCTCACATTGAACACTCCAAAGGCTGTGTTTTGGGAAGGGCTAACTACTACCAAGGTGGGACTAGGCATGGAAATGAGGGCTTTCTGCATTGTTAACATGGCTGCCTGTCCCACTGCCACCACTAGGGGTGTGGGGCACAGCCACTGGGTACAGGGGGACCCAAGTAGAGGGGAGGACGACTGGAATTAGCAAGGGGCCAAGTACGCTCAAGGCCGGGGTCCCTGGATGGTCTGTTGGTGCTTCTTTGATTTTTAAGTGGCCAGAGGCACCAGCAGTGTTTGCCGCCCTACTTTGTGGGCCAAGTCCCGTAGTTAACTGCCATCCTGCTCACTGGGTGCTGTCAGCACATCGCACCCCCTTTGTTGCCCTGGTCACCAGCTCCCATCCCAGTGCTCTTTCAGACTCCGTTTCAGAAGCTGTACTTTACTTGGGGATGGCTGGTGTCACCAAGGCCAAAGCAGTAGGCCCATGGGGGAGGACGGTGGTGTTGGTGGCTCAGACACCACTGGTTGTATGAGGACAATGAAGCTTCTGTTTTCCAAGTGAGACAGTTTTGGCTGCTGCTAAGCTAAGATGCTCATCACTCAGGACAGCCACGGACAGAGGCGAGGGGCAAGTTGCGGAGCTTTCTCTCTGGCAAAGGCAGGAACCCCTCCACCGGACGAGCAGCCGCTCACTTGGCCTCACCACAGATCAGCGTCACGGTACCATCCAGCAAATCCTCCACAGTCACCGCCACGAGCTCAGAGCTGGTCTGAGACGTCTGAGAGTCTGGCAACGTCACAAACACCTGCGACCCAGCAAGCTGGGTCTCCTCCAAAGTGATCACCTGCTCTGCCGGGGCCACTGGCTCTGGGGTTTGGATCACCTGAAAGGGAGAGAGCACGAGGCTGCTCTGGGCAGTGTTCACAGACAGCTCCCCAGAATTTACGTGGTTTTCATCTCACGCTGTAATGATGATATTTATGTTTTCACCTGAGGAGAGCAATTACATGTGCCTAATGGGAAGAGGCAAGTCTAACACACCAGTGATGCAAAAGAGAAGGCAGGCAAACAATTTAAATAACTCTGTGCACTAAATTGCTGTAATTTCACTCAGTGCGCCATCTCGGGGTGCGCGGACTCTGTGATTACACCCCAGTCAGTGCTGGCTCCGTGTCTCACACTGGGTTTTCCCGTCTCGAGGATGACACTGCAGAAGTCAGTGCCGTGTGAGGGGAATGCTACTGAAGGTGGACGGTCTCACGACTGAAACACGGAAACGGGGCGATCTACCAGAAGCCCAGGCTTGCCCAGGGGGGCGTCTCTGGACCTCTGTCAGGCTGAGAGCCTTCCCTGGAGGCCACGTGGGGACAGAGCTTAGGAGGGAAAGAGAGTGGATGAACCGTGATGTCTATCGACTCATTCGCTGGGCTCACCAGGCCGGCAGAGCAGGTGCCCCTTTCCTTCCGTCCTCCCAGGCCACTCGTGCCCCTTCCAAGTCTGCGGAATCTGTTACAGGTGACCTTCCCAGCTCAAGGAGAACTACTCTGTGGTGAAGCACACCCAGTTCCTGCCTGAACCTCCAAGTTGATGCTTCACATCTGCGGACCCCAGAACAGCTTGATGCCCTTGATATCTTCAAACTGGCGTGCCCTCAGAGGGTACAGCCACACTGCTCTTGAGAACCAGCCAAGAGTGCAAAGCTGGCACAAGTGAGGAAGCCATGCTCGGCACCTTCTCAGTGCTATGGGAGTGAGGAGATCAACTGTGATGTTCAGTCAATAATTATCCAGGATGCTGGTTGTCAAACTGTCTTTCTTTCTCTTTTAGAAACGGGATCCCCCACCTTGTCCCCAAAGGACATATTCCTTAATATATACGAACTCTAATATATATAAAAAAGATAAGAGATAAGAGCAGAGCAGCTCTGGTGTTATAACATCAGGAATGTCACTGGGGTCCTGCCCACCCGACTTCCCCTCTGCTCCCAGAGGCCCACACGGTTTATCAATGACTGATCTATGCAACCAGACAGTGGGATAATCCAACAGAGTAAAACCTCAATCCATTTACAGCTCCTCTCCAGCCTACCCACAAATCACTGACAATTGAGAGGACTGAGTTTCTTTTCCTTTTCTGCCCACCCCCTCTGGAGACGATGGGAAGAAGAGTAAAAGAGGATCAGGGAAACAAAGAGAGGCTGAATTGAGCTCTGCCCTGAAGCCCAGGGAAAGCGAGAGGCCTAGACACATGCAGAGTGTGCAACGTCCAGCCCAGAGGAGCTACGCAAGTGTTCAACTGCAGGTGGTCCCTGCCCAGCAAAGAGTGCGTCTGCCTTCTCCAGGGTTTCCTGCAACTCTCATCACATCCCATAGCATTTCTCAGAAGGCAGGCGAGTGTGAATCGGGATGAGGAAACCAAGGTTGTTGCTTCTTTTGGAATTCTTGTTCCAGACTCCCTCTACCTAGGGGTCATTTTGCATGTGGCTACCAGAAGGCTAGAGCTTTCTGTCCTGTTTGGTAAGAGGCCAAGAGAGACTCTCTACAAGGTCCCCAAAGAGTAAGACTGGTGTCACAGAGCCACCTCTAGAGAAGCCTTAGGATCCCCATGCTAGCATTCTGTGTAGCAGAGGCCCCAGAATCACCTGCACCATCTGTGAGGCTGCCGCCTGGCTTTCAGTGCCCATCACCTTTGGGTGCTCAGATTCCAGGTGACTGTCAAGCTGGGCCTGGGAGGTGAAGAGCTCCCCACAGAGCTCACAGGGGAAGGTGCTCTCCGACTGCTTGAAGTGCTCCGTGGTGACGTGGTGCTGCAGTGCTCCAGGGAAGCGGAAAGTAGCCGCACAGTACAAGCACCTGAATGGCTGGGACCCTGGAGGAGGAGACAGAAGGGACAGGCTGTGGTGAGCAGGGAGAGGCGAGAGGAAGGAGCAATGGGATTGATGCACAGAGGCAGATCCAGGTTTTGTGGGGCCTGAAGCTTGTACAATTTGGGGGGCATTCTTTAAGAAAAATAATATAAAATGACAAATACAGAACTAGGCACAGAGCCTTGGAAGGGTCCCATGCAAGTGCGGGGCCCTGGCACTACCGTTTCATTAGTGTTAGATTCAGGCTAAACCTGTCTCTGCTGAAGCCCATTACTCATTCAGCTGTAGATAATGATGCTGACGATACTACAGTTCACCAATTCTAAGAAGTACATTTTAGTATCTCTGAAATAGGATCAATGGCACCTTACGACTGCTGTGGGCTAGGTGGCAGTTGGGTGCGATTGTCAATGCACGTATGAACATGAAAAGTGGCAGCGTCCAGACTGGCGGAGTGAGTGCCCACGGCTTGGAAGACAATCCCTAAGCAGGAATGATGCATGTTTTTAACTCACGGGAACCAAATGGCTTAGAGGGGAGGAGGCAAGAGATGAAAGTTTAGCTACGTTCTCAAAGCAGGAATCAAAAGTAGACTAATTTTACATAACACTCAAAAAACCAAACCAATGGCCTTCACTTCTTTGACGGAATCTCACACTGTGTGCGCCCCATCGCCAGCGCTCTGGATGGCACAATAAACAGTGTGGGAAAACGTGCACGCTGACAATCTGAACTAAACGTTGCTCCGAGGAGCTGGATTCTTCTCCCTTAATCAATTTATTTCTTGTGTTTTCCTTTTTATGTACACAGAATGACATGATAAAAATTTATGTCAAGTTAAGTCCAAAATGGCACTCAGAATCACCTATGAATTCTAAGTGATGAAAATGCAGTTTAAGTGGCAGCAGTTTTTCTTAATGGTTCATTAAAACTGAAACATCGTATAATTGGCATTTTATTTATTTTTAACTGGCATTTTAGATTCGATGAAATATAGCATTAACAACAACAATCACAGCTGATGCTTAAAGGATCTTACTGGTGCCAGGCCTTCAGTTTTTCACATTACTCTAGGAGACAGGTACTACAACTGTTCCCATTTTATAGATGAAGAAACTGAGGCACAAGTCACTGCAGTGACTTGGCCTGGGTTGCAGAGCTGTGAGCGGTGGAGATGAGATTCACACTTGGGTCTAGGAGCACGTTGGAGGTAGCACTGACCTGAATGCTGGCACTTGACGTGAACCTGCAGCAAAGCTGGCGTGGGGAAGAGCTCCTTACACTGGTCACATTCATGGAACTTCATATCTGTGAAGCGCATAAGGAAAGAAGCGGTGGGAAAGAACAAAAGGACGGCTCTCCAAGGCTGGAGAGTAACGGGGCTGGGAGTAGGGGCGATGGCTAATACTCAGCAAGTGTGTGCCAAGTGCCAAGAACCTTATACCTATGGTATAGCCAAACAATCCAGTGGCCGAGAGTACCAGATCTGGATCCAGACAGCCTGAATGCAAAGAAAGCTGTTGTGAGAACGAAATGAGAAAATACGTATGAAGTGCTCCACACGGTGCCTTGCACGTAGGAAATGCTCTGCGACTGGGAGCTGTTGTGATTATCCCCGAATTTACCAGCAAGGGCGGTTTTAATGACAGCCATTCTGAAGAGAAAGAAACAGGCTAAGAAGAGAGAAGTCACTTGTCAAGGTCACACAGTTACAGCTGACAAGTGCCGCAATCAGGATTTCTACCCAGGCCCGCCTACCACCAGAGGTGACCCCCTTCTCATGTGCCGTGACTGGTTCTCACTTGGGCTGGCAGGAGCTTACGCTGCTCTAGGTCTCCAGGTCTGAGAACCACTGCCACGGAAGCGGCTGCTACTAATGGACCAGAGTGGCAGCCTTCAGGTGTGCTGGGGCAGAACGAGGGCAATTCCCACAGCACACCTCGCTGGAGTACGAGAAGTCAGGCTTTCTGGACAGCCCTCCGGTGCCATGTCATGGAGCCCTCCCGCTCTCCGGCCCCCACTCTCTCACTCTACCTGCATGCTCTGCTTTGATGTGCTTCTTGTGCTCAATGGTGTTGGGAAAGGTTTTGTCACACGAGCTGCACTGGAGTGATGAGAACTTGGAAGACCGATGGTTCTGAGCGGCAAACACATCAGGGTGGTGGGTCCGATTGTGGTACCACAAACCAGACAATTGCTGCAGGGAATTTGGCAAGTGTTAGGTTTGAGAAAAGTTCTAGTAAGCTGGAGAGCTCGTGAGGCCCCCAGGAGAGAGAGAAACATGTTCTCAAGTAAGCTTATGGATGTAGAGTCGTACCCTCTCACCCGTCACACTGAGTGCCGATGTGAGGAGTGGCTGGTGCTGGTGGGACCAAGGCTGTGTGTTCACTGAGAGGCCACCAAGGACAGGGCGAGTCCTTCACACACCATCACTCCTCACAACGAGCCTATAAGGGAGGCGTTAGGATCTTTCCAGTAGGTGCAAGTAGAGGCACAGAGGGGTTGGATGACTAATCACACAACTCGTGAGTAGTAGGACCAGGATTTAAACCCTGGCCTTCCGCCTATAACGTCTGTGTTCTTTACCACCGAGCTATATCCCACTGCTTTCCAGAGGCCTGGGGGCCCAGCAGAGCAGCCTGCTGGAGGAGTACACGCTGTCCCTACCCCATAAGCAGGTGTCCCTCTCCCTCCCAGGCTCCAGAGCGACACTGAGAACACTCTCCCTACAATTCGATGGTCTCCTAGAGCTCACACCCAGGTCTTAGTTCTGTAACCCTAATGTTACAGCACAAGGCCTGGCACAAAGTTAGTTCTGAAATTAGCTGTTATGCTCCTCTGCCTATACTCAAATCTCACAGATGCTAGCAATGACCATTCTTTTCTCTGTGGTTTTAGAGTTGCTGATAAATGTGGCTTCTTTTTAGTTCTATATGCGGTTTCACTTTAATTACAGGCCAAGTGCTAAGGTTAAGAAGCCAAGCCCTTCCCTGGAAGTTAAAACAGACAAACAATAATGGTGTTAAATAAGATAATTCCAGGTAGCATTACACTGTCCATTGTCATTCTCATGTCCCTCGACACAGGGGGTCGATAAGTTCCACAGAACGTGAGCATGGAAGGGGAAGAGCATATTCAGTTCAAGACAAAGCTGGAATCTAAGAGAAGAGGTGTAAGAACTCTCCGCTCCAATTCAAGCTCCCCCACTGCATTGCTCTGACCAGGTCTCCTCAGAGAATGGGAATCACAAGCTGCATTCTTCATGAGAATCAGCCAGTTGTCACCTCCTGGATTCACGATGTGATGCACAAGCCACAGGCGTGGGAATCGGGGAAGCTCAAATGGAGAGCAGGTCAGGGACTGGGGCGGGGAGCTCCCAGCGGCACCCGAAGTCACCTGGTAGGCCTTGTTGCAGATCCCACAGCTGAAGGGCTTCCCTCCGACGTGGGTCACCATGTGCCGCTCCAGCATGGAAGGGGCACTGAAGATCTTTCCACACGTGGGGCAGGGGTGGTACTCTTTGGAGTGCACCTCGTGGATGTGCTTCCGGTGATCCTGCAGAGTGGGGAAACTCATCCTGCATTTCTTGCAATCATAAGGATCTTCTATGTCTGGTTTCATGAGGGACATCCATGAGAGAAGGCGGCGGAGAGAGAAAAAACACCACAGGCAGTAATCAGTGAAACGCTGGTTGTTGTGTACAGCAGCAGATTCAAGACTCTGTTTAGCTATCATAGCGGGTCACAGACTCCAAGCCAGAAATCAGTGCCGCAGTCACCTAACTATCCCTACCTTTGTCCCAGGACGTGGGATTCCTCCAAGATTTTAGAATTAACCACCTTTGCAGCATCAAATAGCTCATATCAATTCCTCGTTTTATACCTTGTAAGTTAAATCCTATTTTATTCCTTTCCTGGGAGTATCACCCTTGCTCTTTCTGTTTGCAGTGGGCCTTCTGAGTTTTCTACTTGTCTGCAGAGATTTCCAGCACACTCTGTTTTGTCATCAGTGCTATGACTGGAGGAATGCTTCCTTGTTCCTCGCTTTAGTGTCAACAGTAAGAAGATTTGCATAGGTGACCTTTAACGAGTGCTCTATGACAGGCATGTTCTAAGTACTTTATGTATATTAACTCACTTAATCCTTCTAATAACCCTGTGAGTAGGTTCTATTATCTTCCCTATGTTGCAGATTAGGAAAATCAGGGTTTAGAGTGTGAAGTTAGTACCTTGCCCAAGGGCACAACTCGGAAATGGCTGAACTGGGTTAACAGTCCCAGCTCTCATTTCCAAGTCCATGCTCTCAACTCCATGCTTAATTGGTTAAGACAACTCTTGAGTGAAACCTCAGAAATAAAAGCTTGCATTGATGAAGAATTCATTTGCCATCCTTATGGCAGGAAACTTTGGTCTTTTTCTTAAAACAATAGAAAGTGAAATGTTTTAATAGTAAAATCCTTTGCCCACAAGAAAGGCCCAACCCACAAGCTAATCTCATGCATACACTGATTCAGATTAATTTAGGAACTCTGACATGTAGCAGCACTGACTGCAACTCGTAGGAATTCTGACAGGCAACTAGTTTGCCTGTGGACATGAATTCTGGGATCTCAGTTTTACATTGTCTTTTAAAACATTTTGACACATTTTCATAAGCAATGACATGGTTCTATGAAACAGGCAAGAACAGGAGAGAAGGGCCCTCATGCTGGGCCTGCCATGGATCGTATACTCTAGGGAGTGGCAAAATATTTTGGGTCCTTCCCATTCTGAAAATTAATCATGTACTTCCCCTCTCCTGACTCCCACGTAATGCTACTAGGAAAAGAGGACTAAAACATAATGTCATTTAAAGAGGTCAAGAGAACATCAAAATCCGAGCCAAATCTCACTCATCTGTAAGTCTACTGTAACTGGGTTTTCTGGACAGCCTTGTACACTCCTTAGGTCAGGGCCCCCCTTTATATTCCTCCTGTACCACCCAGCAACCAGCAACATGCTGGGGACACAGGAGCTCTGGCAAAGTCCTTGCTGGCTGGCTGATGACAGACTTGGACAGGCTGACATGAAGCATGTTTGTGAGACACTGTATTTGCCAACGGCGAGAAACTAGTGTGTGGAAAACGGGGTGGGGAAGGGAAAAGGGAAGAAGGGTATGTAACATACATCGCATGCAAAAAAGACAAGCTTTGATGGTGACAAATGGCACCTGAGAAGGTTGCTCTTGCCACCGATAATAATATCTGGCATTTACTGAGCATTTCCTGTATGTCAGGCATGGAGATTCATGCTTTACATGTGATATCTCACTTAATTCTCACAATAGTCCAAGGTGGTGGCATTATTACTTGCTGTGGTTTACAGAAGGGGCATAAGAGGCTTCGAATGGTAAAGAAATTTGTTTAAAGTCTCAAGGAAAGTAAATGGCAGGGCCAAGATTCCAGTCCAAGCCTGTGTGATTTCAGAGTCCAAGCTTTTAACCCCCTGCTGTGCTGTGCTGATTACACTCCTGCTGCAACAAGGAGGCTGAAGCAAACGTGATGTGGCCAAATGCCACGCTGGCGACTTCCTGAAGCTACAATGAGGAATCACAGAATTTCTTTTACCTTCTTCTGTGTGTCTATCTGTGCATGTGTGCTGAATACAAGTGTCTGTATCAGTTCTGGCAGAAGGGGACAGTGATGGGGTCAGACTCTACTAATTGAGTGAAATATAATGGCACTCAGAAGAGAATGCCGGGCAGGAGGCTTTTAAGGGAACATGACCAGGGACCGCTTACTTCCGTAGACGTTAACTCAGAAAGTGTCTGGGTTGCTCCTATGGGAAAAGGCAGATAAAAGATGAGAGTGGGAAGAAGAGGGTGGGGTAGAAAACAGAAGCTCGGTGGACTAATGGAAATATTCCAGTGCTCTGTGAGCCCATCAGTTATAGAGGCTCTCTCCTTCAAACATAATTTGCCTGTCAAGCGAACGGTGCCAGGTGGGCTAAAAAAGAAGACAAGGAAACTGCCTGGTGAGACAGAAATAAGCACCATACAAGGATATGTTAAAATGGGATTCTTACTGAAACAGGAATGAGGGACTCACTCTGGGTCTTACAGAACAGGGGAGGGGAAGACACTGCCTGGGGCCCAGGTCTGGTGGAGTGACACCTCTGTTACAGTTGTTACCCGCTTTCTCAGTGCCAGCCCTGGCACTGAGTGATCTCAGTACGTACTGTGAAAGGTATGCAGGTGGATGGAGAGGCCATTAGCTTGCCGGAAGCCCTTGCCACAGTCCCTGCACACATATGGCTTGTCCCCGGTGTGGGTCCTCACGTGGCGGGACAACTCAATGGACTGGGCAAACACAGCATCACAGTACTGGCATGCATACATTTTTCCTGCAAATATGCATGAGCTTATTAGAGCCAGCACTAAACAGGGCATTTCTATTTTTTTTTTTCTTTTGAGACAGAGTCTCGCTCTATTGCCCAGGCAAGAGTGCCATGGCGTCAGCTTAACTCACAGCAACCTCAAACTCCTGGGCTCAAGCCAACCTCCTGCCTCAGCCTCCCGAGTAGCTGGGACTGCAGGAACATGCCACCACACCCAGCTTCATTTCTACAAACAAAATCAAGCCACACATCAGGGAAATATCTTCTTGGCGATGACATTAACACATCAGGCAATCTATAATACACTGGGTGACAGGTCTGAGCTATCTTGTCACATGGCACCTCGCAAACACAGCCAATCACACAGAGGGTGTGTGTGTGGTCAGATGCAGGAATAAGGACTGAGTTCTCATCACAGAGAACCCATCTGTTCATTAGGTCACCACAGGCAAGGAAAAGCTCGTTTTACTCCCAGCAAATGGATACATCCTTGCACCCAGAAACACGAGAGTTTGGATCCCTTTGCAACACACACTGTGGATCTGCAACTGCACACAAAGGTGGGAGGCAGGGATTCAGAGAAGAATGAAGGCCGCCTTCACTGACTAGTTATAAAGTTGCTACATATCGCTTGGTTTCTCTATAGTCTCGTACATAATGAGGATAGAATGTCCAGACTGCCAAAGACTGTTAGAAAATACAGGTAAAAGGCAAGTCTGGAGAACTGGCATTTATAAAAATACTAGACCAGTTGAACCTCCAAACTCCCTCATGGGCCAGGAGAGCAAGTGGGACAGTCGATGAGGTGAAGCTCCAGACGCCCGGCCCTGGGGCTCACTACAGCCACAGCAATCAGCCTCATTTTCATTTTTCACATTTTGGGCTTCAAAATAAGATTATGTTGGAAAGAGAAGGTTTCTTGAATCAAGAATGAAATTACTGAGAAGCCCGGGGCTTTGTCCTTGACCTTCCCTATCCTTACTCTCCAGCTGATCTCATCGCAGAGCCTTATCCGCCATCTGTACACCGACAGCTCCCATGTTTGTATCTCTAGTTCCCACATTTCCCCAGAACCGCAGGCTTGTATACCCAACTCCTCATTGCTCCACCTCTCCACTGGGAGGCCTAACAGGCATCTCAAATTTATCGTACCCAACCCAACACATACACACGCCCCACATCTCAGTTAACGGCAGCATCATTCACTCGACTGCTCACGCCCCAAAGCCCAAGCCATCCTTAATTCCTTTCTTTTTCCTCACATCCCACAACCAATCCACCATGAGTCCTGCTATTAATACCTCCACTTTCAAAGATATATCCCAAAACCTGAAAAAACTTTTTATACAACTCCCACTAACACAACTCTAGCTGAAAACTACATCGCCTCCACACTGGACTATTGCAAGAGCCTCCTCCTGTCTCCCTTTGTACTACAGTCTTGCCCTACAAGACTGTTTATTGTCCAGAGTGGCCAGAATCAACTTTTGAAAATGTAAACCAGGTCCTTCCTCCTAAGGCTTCCTGTCCTAATCCCTGACACCTGTGAATGTTACCTTACGTGGTAAAGGACTTCGTAGATGTGACTGAGTTAAGGATCTTGTGCTGGGGAGATCAGCCTGGATTATCCAGGTGGGCCCAGTGTAACCACAGGGGTCCTTGGAAGAGGGAGGAGGGAGAGTCAAAGGAGGAGGCACCATGATGGAAGTAGGGGCTCGAGTGATGCGGCCAAGAGCCAAGGAATGCAGGCAACCCCTGGAAGCTGGGAAAGGCCAGGAATAGACAAAACACAACTCTGCTGAAACTTTGACTTTAGCCTCATGAGGCCCATTTTGGACTTCTAATTCCCAAAACAGTAAGACAATACATTTGCATTGCTTTAAGCCACTATTTGTGGTTATTTGTTACCACAGCCATAGAAACTTACACATTTCACATAAAAACCCAAAGTCCTTACCTTGGCTTCTAAGAGTCTGCAAGGTCTGGCCTTTGGGGGCCTCCCTGGCCTTCTCTCTCAATGTCCTTCCTCACTGACTCGCTGCAGCTCCTCCCAGCAGCTAAAGCACATTCCCCCTGGGGGAGCACTTTGCACTCGTGATGCTCTTCTCCTAGGCCCCCCATCGGCTCCACCTCTCACTTCTTTCAGGTTTCTACTCAAATGCCACCTCTCAGAAGCCTTCTCTGGTGAAACAAACAGTGCCCGCCCCAGCCCTGCCATTCCCTTGCTGCGCACCCTGCTTTGTGTTTCTTCACAGCAATTGACTGTTATCTGAAACATTTGTTTATTTGTCAATAAACATTTATTTGTTTACTGTCCGTTTTACCCACTGAGATGCAAGCTCCACGTGAACAAGGTGTGTACGTTTACAACATCCCCGTGCCTGGAATAGTGCTCAAGAAATTCATCCACCCAGCAAATATGCACTGAGGCATACTACTGCCAAGCGCTACTGCGTGTTCCACGGATGGGGCAGTGGGAAGAAAGACTAACAGCTGGACCTTCACAAAGCCGGCCCTCTAATAGGGAGTCTAAGTACAAAGTAAATTACTGAAGTAGATGCTACATCATATGAGCACGATGGAGAAAAACAATGCAGGGAAACCGGGGATGGGGCTGAGATGGTCAGACCACCTTGCAGGGTGGTCAGGAAAGGACTCAGGGAGAAAGTAAAGGGTGAGCCAAGACTCGAAGGAGGTGAGGAATTAGCGCGAGCTGTCTGAAGGGACGAGTCCCAAGCAAAGGGAAGGGCGAGAATAAAGGTGCTGGAGCAGGTGCCCCGCAGGCCTGAGTCCTGGCCAGGAGCCGCAATGGGCAGAAGAGAGTGAGTGAGGGGACAGCACAAGAGGCTAAGTCAGAGGGGAACCGGGGGACTTCATCATGGAGGCCCTGGTAGGCTAGTATAAAGACTCTGGATTTCACACTGAGTGAGATGAAAAGCCATCGTAGAGTTTTGAGCAGAGAAGTGACCTGACATGGTTTAGTTTTAAAATTATTTAGGGAAATGGTACGAGCAAGGAGGCCAGCTATGAGGCTATTGTGACAATCCAGGTGGGATGATGGTTGCATTATTATTTACACATAAATGCTCCAAATACACAGACTCTTCCAATAAGTCTTCACTGACAATTCACCTCCGACCAGACTAAAACCTCTTCTTCATTCCTCCATATCACCCTGGTATTATTCCATACTCTACCACTGATACTCCGTGCTATAACTGTTGCTATGCTCCCTTCCCCCGCCCCCTTAGACCATAAGCTATGTGGGCACAGAAATTCCAGCTTAGCACTCAGCACCTGGCACTGCCCGACCCATAGCAGGTGCTCAGTCGAAGCTGGTCTCATGCCTGAACTCCACCCCAAAGCTCAAAGGATTCTGGCCTCAGTAAATTCTGTGACTATAAAGTCATATTTCATTAGCCAGCCTTTCTTCACAAACTCTCCCCATAAGTACTGAGCATGTCTGAGCACATACGTATTTCTAGTTGTCCGTGTGCCTAGACATTTTGAATTCTGTTTTTGTTTTTAATTTACTTGACAGATATATCATGCCTCATTCCAAACGGGTTCAGGCAGCTCACCCAGGAGAAACGAAGAGCTTCTCCGTGACTTACCCTCCGAGTGCTTC